ATTTTGCATACAGGCAAACCATTGTTTAGTGACCATTTGAAATGATAGTTTTGCTGAAAAAGCGACTAACAAATTGTCCTTACTCTCATACACATTGCAGCATCCCAACAGTCATGTGATCAAAATTTGGATGCTTGGCAGCCAGCATGCATTTACAAGAGTTGCAACATCCCAAGGTCATGTGATCCTGATTTGCAACTTTCCAGCCAGTTTTGGACAACTAGATTCACAATGACTATATGATTCTGCAATGATTTGCTTAACAACCACGACAAAAAGAAAAGAAAAGAAAGCTCATGAAATAACAACCTCCTTGCTTAAAATTCTGGTACCAGTTGTGCTAATAAGTCGAGCACTACATGTATATACGTTAGAAACATAACTAACAAAGTTTGGTTAAATTATTGGAAACCAGAAGAGGAGGAGGAGGAGGAGAAATACCTGTTATCAGAAGACATCTAAAGTCTTGTTTTTACCTTTCAAAACCTTTCCTGTCTTTTTAATGGATCCTATTGCTAATGAAGTAAGTTTGTGGCCATTCTACTTTCTTTCACGAATGCTCTGTTTTGGAAAGAGTCACCTCATTAAAATCACTATCAAATTGATCTGTACCATCAGCTATACCACCATGTTTCATTTAAGCATTTTCGGGAAGCTATGCTGTATCTTTCTATGTTAGGCATAAAATCCAATTCATGTCAGGTTTTTGTCAACTAATTACTGGAATAGACTGGCAACCACAGTTTTATACTCCATCTTTATGATAATGACCTTCAATCGGTTCAGGTTAAGATTTATGTACGTTTCTTGCTGTTACTGAAGTATGAAAACCCCCAATAACATCAGAATATAATGAATAAATAAGGGAGTCAGGCAATGTCATTCACAGCAAATTGCAGTGATGCCCTAATGACCTCGCTTGTATCTGACAAAAGTGCAAATATCATGACATTTTCCTGAATATGCCATCAGAATGTTGTCACCAATCATCCACCAGACCAGTGCCCATAGAGTCAGGACAAGGCATCGTAACTCTGAAAGCTATATCTGTTGTTATGGTTCAACTAAGAATCTCTACTGATATTTCTTAGCCATGTATCTGCTTTCTCCCCATTCAGTTTGCTTGATCAAAGTGAACTCACATAAGCATAAACATATGCACAGATCTGGCTTAGATGTCCACTAGCTAGCTTTTATTCTTGATATTGATAGTTGAAACACTTATTTATTTATTTATTTAGTCAGTTGGTTTTTATCTACTTTCCTCTATAGAGATTGGTTCATTGAAGTACTGACATATATTTCAAAGCAGAGCATTCACTAATTAACTTTCTTTCTGTAATAAGCCTCTATTTCTTTTAAGCATCAAAATACAAGGAACCTCATAGATCAGACCAGTGGCCTAACTGGCTCAATATCTTGTTTCCTGCAGCAGCTACCCAGGTGGAAAGCCAATAAGTTAGACATGAATACAATAGCACTCTGCTGTTCAAATTCTCCAGAAACAGCTGTTCAAAGACATGGTGGCTCTGATACTGGAGGTGATAGATAGCTATCATGATTAGTATGCATTGATCACCTTATCCTCCCCTTTGTCTGCACTAGATCATTGAATGTGCGAATGAGACATTTGGTGCAGGACTTTGAATACACTTCAATACCTTTGATTATCATCAGCATTCTAATTTTATGTTTAAGGAGAACCTCATCATATATGGATATTTGCTTCATATATGCACCCTGCAGTATCCAGCCGTATTAGTAGCTGGATTTAAAAGATGTAAGTAGTACATTATTTCTTAAAAATCCACACCTGCCATGCATGAACAGAAGTGGCTTTTGCTACAAATGAGTAAGTCTTATTTGTCCACTATCATTCCCTTCTTGATAATGCAAAGGAATAGAAAAGAACCCCATTAACTTCAATGCCTGAAATGCACTGCAGTGCAATTGGAGCAATTTTCTTGGCCATTTATTGCCTTACTAAAAACCACTCATTGGAACAACCTTTCACACAACCTGCAATAAATATATTTATCACAAAATACTCTACCCCATCAACAACCTCAAGACCTGGGCATATATTTCATTGCCTATAAACTGATTGATGCCCTGGAACTATATCAGGCTTTTTAACAGTTCTCCCTCTCTTGCTTCTTTGGCCTAGAAGATAAAACAAAAAGCAGATTTAGGAGAAGGTGAAAGCCAAAATGGCATGCATCCCAGAAAAAGTAAAGTGATAAAGATGGGAATGAAAAGGAATATTTCTGTAGATGTCAAATAATGTATCTATTCATTTAAGTGATGGCAATAATGTGATAAGTGATGAAAATATTTATTACTTTATTCTGAACAGGTTAAATTAAATGCTTCTCTGACAATCTTCTGAATGTCTACTTAGAAGTAGGTTTTATTGAGTTGAATAAAATTTATTCTTAGGTAAATCTAGGCATGATTTCATAGTAAAACATTATCAGTCTGTATGAGATTGTTTTTAAGTAGAACCAGCAGTCTCCTTATTTTTAAGTAGAGCAGTGGCCTATCACTGAACTTTTGGTACAGAAGAATGAAAGAATTCTGAACTCTGGCTTTCATTTTATTTTTTAAAAGAGAACTGATGTGAAACTTTCATGCAAGAATCAAATCTTGGCTACCCCAATTTCAGCAATATAATTTTAACTGGATAATGAATTTGTTGTATCTTTCATTACACAATTACTGGTTTACAAAGTATACAAAGGTGTACAAAGTCTTTTCATTTCTGGTCTAAATACTACTAATGAAATATTTTGTAAATCTAAACAGCTTTGTGACACTCTGTTATCAGAACAACCCAGTGGAAGAAAATCAGAGTTGGATTTTGATGCCCAGTAAATTAATTTCAAAGGCAAGAGTAGTTTATATCCAAACGTACGAAAACGCCCCTTTTTGAAGATGAAACACCTATATGCAGATATATCCAGCAAACATAGCGGTGATTCTAAAATGTAGACGGTTATGTTATAGTCATGACATTTAATGACTGAGATTAAAAAAATGTCTAACCTTGAACTTTGGGATTAGAAAAAGCATTTCTAATCCAGAAACATGTTTGCCTGCTTGTTCTCCTTTTTTAGAACAAGGTGCTTCTTAGGAGCACTAAACTATTTTGTACATAATCCAATCTTTATTATGCTCAAGACCAGCATAAGCTATTTGGTTACATTGGTGGCTTCTGTTCTGAGTATCAATATTACCCAGCTTCTCACTACCTGTTAAGCAGTGTTTCTCAACCTTGACAATTTTAAGGCATGTGGACTTCAACTCCCAGAATTCCACAGCCAGCAATGCTGGCTGTGGAATTCTGGGAGTTGAAGTCCACATGCCTTAAAATTGTCAAGGTTGAGAAACACTGTGTTATAGGAAGGTAATGTGTGGGGTAAAGCTGCCTTCATTCCCCAGTGCTAATAAAAACATGTGGGACAAATTCAAGGTAAGAGAAATTATCCCTGCATCAGTGTCCCTGCACTTTCCTTAATGAAACTAATCAGCTCTCAGTATAGTTATTGTTTGAATGGAAGATTGACTGAGAATGTCACACATTTTGCCATAAACCCCACAGAAGGGGGGATGAAATGTATAAATATATATAATAGCTTAATAAGACTGCCAACCTCTGATTTAGTGCTTTTTCAGAAGAAATAAATTTTTAGCATTATTTTCCAATCCTTATTAATAAACAGAAGAGGGAAAGTAGACTTTATTTAGCAGGATAGAAGATTTTTTTAAAAAAAAACAATGAAGTTAGTTGTAATTTTTATAATTGTTGAATCTTTAATACCTTTTTTCTCATGGTATGTCTTTTGGGTATAGCACATTTTGAAAGACTGTAAAATGGAATGGCAGAACAATCCAAGAGATACTATACTATTATGGAATTGTGTTCACTGTTTTGAGGCTTGTCTTGGCTTATTTCTTACAGTACCAAACTTGCTCTCATAAAGCATGGTGCATATTACTAACTGCTTCCTGTACTTAAAAGCAAAATTTGGTTTCCCATAAGAAAAATAATAATTTGGGGTATGTGTCTTTCATTGGAAGTAAAAAGCTAATTATTTCCAGAGGACGAGAGAGGAAAACAATTGCATTTTCAGGAAAAAAAATATTCCAGCAGAATAAGAGAAAGTAGATATCACGTTCTACTTGTAAAACAGGATATAAGAAGATACTATCAATCAAAGCAACCAGTGGCTCAGAGTTCTTTGCTAAAAGAGTCCAAGGAAAACATAGATCTCCACTGTGTTTCCAGGCACAAGGACTAAATTGCAAAAGCAATTGGCTACAGCAAGCTCCTACATGTGGGGAATTAATTAATAAGCTCTAGTGCAAAAGCCTCAGGTGTCTGCAAGCCAAAAAATAAAAGATTGGCTCCGAACAGACTGAGCCAGCAGAGAATCATATATTATTTTTGTTAAATGTTACAAAATCACAAAGTTACATTTTACCAAAAAAAAAGTAGTGACAGGATTATTTTTCATTAAACAATATACCCAAGGAATGTTTATATTATATCAAAGTGTACAACTGAATTTCAGAATTTCATGAACACTTGACATTTAGTTGCCAGTTAAATGAGTGGAAACTAGTGAGCCACATAGGGATAGCTAAAGATGAGGACTGTGATTTATGCTCAAATGGAATTTGCTATTTTTTAAATATAAATGTAGAAATAATAATGATTATTTGTGTGTTTATTTTACAGGTTTGTAAACCAATACAATCAATGAAGACACTGCCTATTAAATAATAAAGCAAAAATGAAACAACACACAATAAGAAAATATAACTTTTAAGTTCCATGCTTATCCAAGAACACCAAATGATGCCAAGAGCACAAAAACACAGTATTTTTTTAAACTGCTTTGTGAAATATGGGGGAGGAGACCAAGAGAAGCTTGTCCCAGAGCACTGAGACTACAATGGGGAAAGTAGAAATAAGAAATAGAACGTCTTACCACAGTGGCTAAAACTATGATAAAGTATCCTAGGCACCTGCTTATTCAGTCTTTCATCCAATGTCCCAACGATACTATGGAAGAATATATTATCTCTTAGCCATCATCTCAGATTTTCAGCAGATTTCTTGGGTAAAGTAAAAATCAGGTTAAATTATTGAGTAGGTGCCATTTCTTTTAATTTTTCTATCTACATTTGATTTCAAATTATTTCCAGAACAAGAGAGAGGAAAACAATTGCATTTTCAAAAAATAAAATATTCCAGCACAATAAGAGAAAGTGGTTATCATGTTTTGCTCATAAAGCAGAATATAAGAAGATACTATCAATCAAGACACTAGTGGCTCACAGTTCTTTGCTAAAAGAGTGCAAGTGAAACATTGCATAGATTGCAAAAGGAACAAACATCCAAATTGTTGTTCCTCACTATGGTTGCCTTAGAAAATTATGTTCCCAAGTTTGCAATTCAGAAAGACTCTTCAAATCTGAAGTCTATTAATGTTTATAGATGTCTTTCAAACAACATATAAATAATTATAATACTAGATATGATAACAGAAATCAGTTGCACTATTACCACACATTTTTGCTGTACTAACAATTATTGTGATACTTTTCTCAGTTGCTGTATATTTATTTTGTACTGTTTTTAATTGTTTTAACAGTTTAAGAGTTGTTTGAAGCCCATGTGATTTAGATGGGTGGCTCTAGAAATTAAATAAACAGATATGGCAGCTGTTACCTGAGCTCCTTAAATGAAAGCAGCTGTATTTAGCTATGAATTTTCATTCCTTCTGTTTTCATTAAGTTATATGGGCTGGTGCAAAACAACTCTTGGCTAGCAAAATTGATTCTTAGGATGAAAGTTTAAAAGTGCAATTCTGAATATGTCTTCTTAAAAATTAATCCCACTGAACTCAAAAATATTTATTTAAGATTAAATTCTGTTAAAGTCCATGGAACTTTAGGGGGCTTGGTTGAGTGACATTGCATAGGTATCATTTTAGTGTCACTCTATTTCAGTGGTGGCGAACCTATGGCATGGGTGCCAGAGGTGGCACTCAGAGCCCTCTCTGTGGGCACCTGCGCCGTTGCCCCAGTCCTAGGTCTTCAGCTGGGTTTTATAAAACCTTTTCGCTTTAGGCCTCCGCCGCCGTGTACACAAAAAAAAAGGTTCAATCAATCAGTTAATTTCAACTTCTTGTGGGAAAAAAAGATCTTGCAAAGTTGGGATTGATTGATCGAACTTTTTAGTCCCACCCAGTCTGCCGTTACCACCGCAGCCACGCCCACCCAATGGGCCACACCTACCCGGCACCCGACGATGCATAAGTGGGTTTTGGGTTGCAGTTTGGGCACTCGGTCTCTAAAAGGTTCGCCATCACTGCTCTATTTGCATCCACCTCTGCTTCAGCTACATCACAATAATAGCTTAAAAATAAGATGTATGTCTTATGGTAGTACAACTTTGTGGCATATACAGTCAGTTTTGATTAGCCTGGCTTAACCTTCATTAAGTGTTATCGGTGGTACTAAACATGAAATCTAGCTACTACTGCACCATGAGAATCCTGAGAAAATGATTGTGACAGTCGTGTCCCTTAGTTAATTGGGTTCTAATCATAGATAGCCATATTCCTTCACTTTTACTTCTTAAGTATAATACTTACAGAATATTCCCTAGTTATTCAAGGTTGTTGGGTCAGAAGTACAGCTATCTAAAAAAAGAAACACACTGTAACAATTTGTTCTATGTGAAATACCTCATCAAAGTGTAGGAAAGAACATTTTATCCAAAGAGAATTATCATGTAAGAATAGAACAAAGAACAAAACTTGTTTTAACATAGGATCTACCACAAGACAGGGTCACTATGCAGGAAAAAACATACTAAAGTATTTTATTTTAGTAATATATATTTCACAATATAAATAGTTGCATACATAACACAAACAAAAAGCATAGGGACAGAACATTAAAATCAGGGAGGGAGGAAAGAAGGAAAGAATATATCTTGAGTTAACAAGAATTTTCAGCTGGATAAAAACATTAGTGGCAATGTTTTCACCATCTCACCTCCATGGGTGTGTAGACTGTAATACTCTCAGTCCTTTAATGTAATAAAATAAAACAGCAAAAACAAAAACCAGACTACTACAGGAATTGCAGGAATATTATTTTATTGCCACGTGAAAGGATGGTCTAAGTCCCCTTCTCATGCTTTCTACTTTCACAGGGCTGAGGAACTGTTTCAACTTTTCAACCTCCTTCTCAAGGCCAGCTAAATTCCTCTACAAAACATGCATGCACATGTTAAAGTATAGGTCAGGGGTCTTCAAACTTGGCCCTTTTATGACTTGTGGACTTCAAATCCCAGAATTTCTCAGTCAGGCATGCTGGCTGAGGAATTCTGGGAGTTGAAGTCCACAAGTCATAAAAGGGCCAAGTTTGAAGACCCCTGGTATAGGTCCTACACTATATGGGCACTGTGACTAGGAAATCCCAATCCTACCTTTGTTGTACTTGTGTTCAATATAAGTGTGTATACAATTATAACTTAACACTTGTATGCAAAGCTTATTCATATAATTACAAAAATAAAACCTCATTTGCATCAACAATGCCTTTCTCACATCAAAGTTCAGAGAGATTCCAAGACATTAGAACTATCTTACCTGTATACATGCATACACAGATACCCTCATACACACCATACCTATAAGTAAAAAAATCTTTATTTAAAATGTATTCTTATAAAAAAAATAATTCTTAAATTATTTTTAACATGTTCACCATACTGGAGTTTACATGAGCATATGTAAAAAAAAGGCAAGTGTCACCTTTTACTGAACTAATCTCAGTAGAAGTGAATCTTTCAGAAAACACGGAGCTCTTCTTGAGGCAAAAATTCAGTTATGATTACACTCACTAAGATGAATCCATCCAATAAAAGTCATCATCCCCTTATTCAGAACAGTTACACCACAAGCTACAGATCTGATAGAGTAGCACAGCACACAAGAGAAAGAATTATTGGCACTATTCATGAAATTTTGTTCAAGACTAGACTTATCTTCATTTTCCTGCATTCCCTAAACACCTGGAATGAAATTAAAATTTTACATACTTATTTGACATTTACATATACACTACTATTGTCCAATGTGGACTTTGATTACATATGTACACATATGCATATAGTGGCTGGAAGTATTATTTTGAACTATGGCATAATCAAAATACCTAACCACGCAATCAGAAGAACTTTATGTAAATATATACAGGTAAAAACCATTTTCTCTTTTGGCTGAACTTGTGATTAGAAACAGAGCCAAAGTGTACAGCTCCCCTCCCATCTATAGGATTGACTATAAGGTGAGAAGACGGTTAATTAATAGCTGGTGCAATAACAACTGTGTTTCCCTCAGGCTCAATTTTGGAAAGGGTTCACATCACAAATGAGTTAATTTGGGCTCTATTTCACATCAACCAAATTAAGTTCACTTTGGCTTCCTTCCAGCTGAAGGTTCCATTCTCCTTCTTATAAAAGCAATGGTAAGAGTTTGTTACAGAGAGCTTTTGCTTTAAAACTTCCACTTGACTGTACCTAAATGCAAGTATTCATGGAAAAGATAAATTCCATTTCCATGGATGATATTATTCTCAGGGATCCTATCATCTCAATAGAAGTATCAACATCTGTGCAAAAGACTTTCTCCTATGGGTTCTGACATCAACTGCCAATTATCTGTCAGAGTAAGGTTGAGTGGGCAAACTAAGGGGTTCCTATTTTATAAAAGGCAGATATGCCCAGCCATTTTTTAAAAGAATCCAATCTCCAAAAAGAGGTTGTGCTCAAATTGCAGTGGATTTTTGTGAGAAAAGTATTTCTCACAAAACCAATTTCTAATTTTTACAATATACTTCTCAGTGGTGAATCAAGACATTTTTGGTTGATATTTCACTTGTGGTAAGTATGTGTAAGCCACTCATTCTCTGCCCCTTGTAATATATAATATGGAGATTGATTACACTGATCTATCCAAGAGGGCTAAAGCAAGAATTGCTCAAATAATATATGCAAAGTGCTTGTACACTTGGTTCCATGTTCAATAAATGCAGGATATTAGAGGCCTGTGGAACAACTTTGTTTACATACATTGTCCAGAGCTGGGAAATCTATCAAAATCACAACATGAATACAATAGATGTCACAGCTACTTTGTAACTCTAAGTCTTTGCATTTAATAAAGCATTTGTTTTACTTTTTTCCCTGAAGCTAAATTTTGTAAAGTTCAAAAGCTTGTACAATGGTAATAGTAGGAGGCATTGATCAGTATCCCTGTCTGTATTATGTCATTCTCCTGGAGCTATACTATGAAGTGTACTGAAAATGTAATAGCATTTTTTATTTTGCTGCTTTGAATACCCAGTCCAATAGATTGGTGAATATTTTATGTTCCTATGACCTTTCTTGCCATAAAACCATCACACTTGCATATCAACCTTTAGCTGATTTCACATATAGGTTTTAAAGTGATGCACCTGCAGTTTAAATGCCCTGCTCCTTCCTGGCTATTCCTGCTCAATAACTTTATATATATATTCCCTACTGTAATACCTTCATGGGCATTCATTTTCAACAGTGCAAAAGAACTACTGTTTACGACTTGCTTTTAATAGTCATAGCAAACTAATGTAAGTATGAATGTAAAATATATAAATATATGCTTCCAGAAGTTGTGCTGTTCCAACACTGGAGGTTTTAAAGAAGAGACTGGATAACCATTTGTCTGAAATGGTTTATGGTTTCCTGCTTGAACAGGGGTTTGGACTAGAACAGAAGTCCCCAATCTTTTGAGCACCAG